GCGAGCATGGGAGGAGTTGATGAGGGAGTTGGAAAGTAGAAGGTCATTTGAAGAGCGAAGGGGAGGGTCAGGGTGATACTTTGAGACAAGGTTTGAAATATAGCCGGGGGCAGAGTTGTGGATGGCTTTGTAAGTGGTTGGTAATATTTTGAATTTTAACCTTTGGGCTATTGGAAGCCAGTGCAGGGATTGACAGAGGGGGGTTGCAGACACTGAGCATTTAGTTAGGTGGATGAGTTTATGTGCTGCATTCATGATGGACTGAAGGGGGGGATAGCCTGTGTAGAGGTAAGCCAATGAGGTGGGAGTTGCAATAGTCAAGACGAGATATAACAAGTGAGTGGATGAGAAGTTTTGCTTTCGAGTAAAAAACTTTCAATCTTCTTTTCAATAATGTATTTCTTTACATTCTTCCCCAAAGACTTTCAGCCATCATGTTTACAAACAGCTGGCTCCATATACAGTACACCAAAGCACCGTTCCTCCACGGCTTTAGCAGGGGAAAGACACCTGGGTGCTCGCCGGCAGAAATGTGACCTCACTTCAACCAAACAGGTATATAGTAAAGGAATAATCTGGCCGCACTACGTTCCATGCTGAATCAGTTTATTGAAAATGTGTCAGTGACACTCAGTCCTGCCCAAGGTCTGCACCCTCTGACATGTTTCACCCAATCCTGGGCTTGGGCCACATAGCTGGAACCAACTCTCTCAGCTCTGCTTCCCTGAACTTCCTATCCAGTACAAGATCACAAGGAACAGAACAGTCTCCAGCAGCTGTCCATTGTCTAGATTGGAGAAGGAAGGAGCTAGGGGAGCAAGGGGGAGGGGAGTTTACTAGCACACACCAGGATGGCTCCATAGGACCCTGCAAGGGAAAGGAGCCACCCCAATACAGGATATCAGGGCCAGTGCTCAGGGGACCAGCTGATTGTGCAGGAAACCTAGACTTTTAAACATCAGGAAACAGCATTCATTGTAAGTGATCTAATCTGCATTTCAAATAGCTTAAAACCTTTTAGGGGGAATTTGTCAAAACTAGAGTAGACAAAGTCTGGAGCAGCTGTGCATGGCAGCCAATCAACTTCTCTTTTCGTTAAGATTTGAAAATGAAAGAGAGTAGCTGATTGGTTACCATGCACAGCTGCTCCAGATTTTGTCTGCTCCAGTTTTGATAAATTCCCCTCTTTGACTTTAATATCGCTTTAATCTGTGTCTTTTATAACTTGCTGAAGTTTAACTTTAAATTTGTGTACAGTTCCAGACATACCAAATAGTAGTAAAAATTTGGAAAACGCTCAAAATGCGGCATTCACTTAATTGACAATTCCTTGACGACTTTAACATTAGTTTGAGGAATCATGTTTGAGTAAGCAGAGCCATAAAATGTAATTTTCTGAGCTGATCTCGAAGTTTCAGCATTGTCATTTGTTTGTTCCCATTGCAGCACACAAGGACAGACAAAGTTACAATGTAGACTGCTATCAGACGGAAACAGGAAAAGGCAGGGAGGAGTGATTGGTATCAAGGACATTCTGTCTCATCAGAACCTCAGATGCCAAGGCTACAGTAGCTACAAATTCAGCCACAACTTTTTATCTCGTTTTCAATTGAGCAGTGAGGAGTTAGAGTCTCTGTGAGGATTTTATTGCTGCCTGTTCTCCTGTAGGGGAGATTCGCCCTCATTTCCTAAAAAAAGTAATTCCAGGCCCTTTAGGTAGGAACTTTAAGGGGGAACCCCACCCCCCCAAAATGGGGAAAAAAAACATCGGGTCCCCCCTAAAATTCCTACCAGACCCTTGATCCAAGCACAGGCCTGGCAGGGCTGGAAAGGGGGGATGATCAAGCTCCCCCCCCCCGGGCTCTACCAGGCCAGGGGGGATGATCAAGCCCCCCCCCCCCGCGTTATACCAGGCCACGTGCCCTCAGCATTAGGAGGGTGTCCCCATGCGGACGGGGACAAGGGCCTCTTCCCCACAACCCTGAAAAAGTCCTTTAATTGAAACAAAAACAAAGAGTCCGTTTTTGACAGTTCCTTTATTTAAAAAAAAAAAAAAATGGATCCATCTATGTAATTAAAGGGGTACCCTGATGCAAATAAGCCCCCCTGCCCGCAGTCCCCATCAGCATGTGGGCACCCTCCCAATGCCAAGGGCACGTTTTCCTGCCCTGCCAGGCCTGTGCTCCAATCAAGGGATTTTAGGGGAGATCCCCACTGTTTTTTTTCTCCATTTTTGGGGGTTGGGTTCCCCCTTAAAATTCCTACCAGACCTAAAGGGCCTGGTATCAATTGGGGGGGACCTCACGTTTTTTTTTTTTTCTTCTGCGGATTGTAAAAAAAAAAGTAATTTTTTTTCTTTTGTCTAATGTAACTTTGGTGTAACACAAATTCGTTCGTAACGAAAATTCATACATACTACTGCTAACAAAATTAACGAAAATTATGATTTTGTCCGAATCCCAAAATTAATTGCCTTTTGGGCCCAAATCCCAAAAATTGAAATAATGAAAAATCTGACTGAAAACGAAACAAAACCAAAATATTTTTTGCCAGCGCACATGTCTATCTTGCGCCACTGGTTCTGATGTCAAGATCTGTTCTAACATCATTGGGCTGGAGATCAATCTTCCACAGACTGCCTTGCTGTGTTTGATACAGTGCTGCGTGCTTGAACATAGAGCAATTGGTCACTGCAGACTGGAGCCCTGTGGAAGGTGAGGGCCTTTGGCTCTTGTATGCTTTGCTCAAACACCCTGGCAAAAAGCCCTATGTAAACTGTCAGTCTGTGTCAGAGCTTACACAGCACTTAGGAAGGGGGATACTTATAGCCTTGTATGCTCTGACACAGACTGGTTTCTTTCACGTTTCAGTCCCCATTCACACTTGTGACACGTAACATCACACATCACTTTTATGTGTTTCTCATGTGTTGCACATAGGGCAGCCTATTCATTTCAATGCTTTACCTTGTGTTATAAATTCCGCAAAAAAGTTAAAACACCTTGTTGAGTTTCAAGCTATGTGCTTTGTGGTTTTTCACCCATGCGTTTTTACAGGTCTTTGCACATGCAAAACGTGTGTCTTATTAGCCATGTTTGGAGTGCCATGAACAATAAATGGTACCGCAAACACCACACGTTGTGCGATTTTGCACACATTCGCATGCTACACTAAATGCGAGCTCAGAGGCAGTGTTTATTATTATGTCTGGTTCTTTGTATCTAGGTTGGCATCCATGAATTGCTAAAATAGTATTCTGCACCAGGAAGGTTTCTCCCTTACTTTTTATATAGGATATTACTTATTCCTTGTTACCTGTTTAATTTGCTCTACATCATAGTTCTACATGAGCTGTCACATCTGGGAAATTTGGAAGATTTAAATGAACCGTTCAAACTTTGGAAGTTTTCGGTGCTAGTAAGAAAATTAGAACATATTTGTCATTTAAAGGAATAAAGAAAATGTCAACAGCTGGTATTATAATTCGCTGGGGCAATTAGATAGTATTCTATGATGCTATTTGGACTGTTATACTTGTTCACAAACTGTACTAAGAGGACAATTGATCATACTCATTATTAAAGTAGAACTATGGGGTAAGTGTTTTTCCCCATATTTCTCCTAAGGGTCACAGAAGGACATAAACTAGCGTTCTCCCGTGACCCAAAGCTCAGTATATCGCGAGCTACAGCTCGCAGTATACTGAGAACGCCGCAGCCGGGACGGATCCCGACATTACTGTCGAGATCCACCCAGCTGCGTGAGTGACAGTTGGCTCTGCCTATCTGGAGGCAGAGCCAGCTGCACCCTCCCCCGTTCGTTAATCCAGTCAGCGCTGGAGGATCGGAACAGGGGAATCCCTGCAGGGAGCCGTGAGTGACAGTCACGGCTCTCTGCAGGGAGATGATCGAGAAGTGAGCGAGCGACGGTATGTGTTCACTCACTTCCCGATCTATTGAGCCGACGTGTGACAGTTTTATTGAGTGAAAATCACTCACCTCATAGTTCTCCTTTAAGCTCAACACAGGGCTTACTTGGCTCACCCCCATTTCCATTTGGATTCCATGCATCTGCTGTAGAGAGGGGTCCGGGATCTCATCTGTGGCACAATTGAGAACAAATATATGATTGTTTTAAGTTTTCTGATGATCTCTTGAATTTGGGATTTGTACATCTCTGTTCTAATGTACTGATACTTGCCCAAGTACTTACAGATACAAGTACTGATACATTTTTGTTTATTGTCATGTGCCAGTTTTTCTAAAACAATACAGACTAATGATTTCAGGACAGTGGTGGAGCGCCAGCTGCAACCGCTGCAACCCTGGTAGTTCTCATGAAAATGGCAAGTATCGGCATTGATGTCTGAAAAGTATCGGTGCATCCCTAAGAAAAACCATTCTCTCCTTTTTGATTGTGCAACAAATGTGCTGAGAAATATGTAAAAATGTAATAAAATATAAGCGGTAAGAAGCACAGGCAGTTAAGGAGGTGAATATACTACCTCTTCTCTAACTAGGCACTGCTGTTTATATTTTATTTTTAAAGACATGACAGGGTCTCTTTAAGCACAGATATTTATGTGTCTGACAGATTACTGATAACCTGGACAGTCTAGCACTCCTGCATTCTGAGTAAAGTGCATTCTTTCACAATGCCATGGTGTTTAAAGTTTGTAATGATCAATTATTTGCTGAGGGAAGTACAACACAATAGTGAAACAATTTATCTTTATTATCCAAGGTTGTACTTTACCTTGAGTCCATGCAAAGTAGGGTAATCTTTTTAGCATTACTAACCATGGACTGTATACAGATAAACGTATTCAGTCTTTGACCCTGCATATATTTCTCCAGATCTCCCCAGTAGTTCACCATGGAGTTGTTCCTTGCATAAACAGGGACTGTCTCCTTTGCAGGAGGAAACAAGTAGAAGTGTATACAGAGGCGTAGCTAAAAGCCACAGGACCCTGCTTACTGAACCAGTGAGACTCACAAGTGCTCACTGGAGTGACTGGGACTGTTAGGTAACAGCAATAATTACACATTTACAAAATGGAATCAACTCTTAGCTTAAACATGGAGGAACCAGTTAAAAGGAAGCGAGTGAATAAATATAAAATAATCTCTGGGGTAAGTGCCAAGTGCTTCCTATTGTATTATATTAATTATAACCTTTTAATTATAACCATTCTTTCTCATGATTTTAATTTATGTTCCTGTGACACTATACAGGGTAACTGTAAAGTGTGTCCTTGCTTTTATATTATATGATGTTTAATTTATCTGTTATATGATGTTTTTTATGATAATGTTTCTTATGAGTGATAAGACTGTGAACACTAGTTTGCAGATGTTGGAGAGATTTCGGTTACCTGAAATTCGTTTTATAAGGGGTCTTTGTTGAAAAGATACTAAAGGAGAGAGCATGTCGTAATGAATAATTAATCTGCATGGAGGGTAGGGAGAACCATAATATTTGAAGGGAGCAACCCCTCTTCATCAAATGCACGTGTGTGTGCTGAAATGTTTTGCTTTTCCTCTGTGTACTCAGTAGGGATTGAGTATTCATTGGTTATTACCATTTTAAGCTGTTAATGGCCTTGGTCTCTTCTCTTATTTGTTGTTGGATTGTACTATACGTGGAATGGTTTGGTAAATTACATACTTTCTACTATTGTTTTGGTAACATATGAATTTGACAGTCACTTGCCTGTTATTTGAACACCCGAGATGAAGCCATCAAGCATGCTCTTGAACTGTAATTTACCTAAAATTAAACCTTTCAGGCTGCAACAGTACAATGCTGACACCCAGCAGAATATGACATTACATGGTCCTTCAGGTGACTGTGGGTAGGTCTGAGCTAAGTTATCTTTTTTGCCTACCTCTTTACACACTTTATATTGACTAGTAAGGTCAATCATCTCAGTGATGGGCCAAGATGAGTATGCAAGAGGTGGGAGGATTGTGTATTAGGAAACCCTTGGTTGAAGATGGGAGTCATTGGGATGATCAAGCCAATGCACAAGTCCACAGTACAACAATTAGAACAGGATCATCCCAGGACAACCAAGGCAGGAGGCTAGAACCTGATAGATGCTGGGGGGGGGGGGCAGCTACAATTTTCATGCACTTGCTCCAAAGTGCAGAATAATGAGGCTGTGCATGTGCCTGTCACATCCCAAGGAAGTATACACTTGTAGGCAGTGAATGTCTGATGGGGTAAGCTATGTCAGAAGTGAATGCAAATAAGGGCATCTTGCCTGTGCTATTGCAATCCTTACCAATGTTATCTGAAGAGATGAGGAAAGGACAGAGCTCCTACTTTGGCTAGGGCTAAATGTTGCCTTAATTCGTATCTGAGTATAACTGTTGGTACAGATACTCAAGCAGCAACGTCTTCTGCTCTTGGCTGAATGTGGTTTATATAAAGTGCAAATACCCAGTTATGATGTGAAATGACTTGTCCTGGCTGGTAGTAAGATTTACAGATTTAGAAATCTAGTGCTGCTAGAGTATGGGTCTCAAACTCAATGCACTTGGGTGCCACTGGACAAATTTTCTTCTTCCATAGGGGCCGCTTTGCAAATTTTATAAAATGTCATACTTTAAAATGAAATGTAAGTATTTACGGTACAAGCGTTAATGTCTGTTTATAATGTCAGTATATGTGTTTGTGATGGTTACTTTGTATGCAATTTCAGTATATTTTATGTGATGGTTTGTGTCAGGATTTCTTATGAGTGATGTCAGTTTGTGTGTTAATGTATCTGTATGTGTCATGTATGCTCGTATGTACAGTATATGTGTGCAGTGTCAGTATATGTGTGTTTTTTCCCACAGGTTTTCATTTTAATCATAGAGGACAAACAGATTTACACATTCATTCACACACAGAAATACACACACACAGAAATGCACCCCCCGACACACACAGAAATACGCACACACAGAAATATGCACACAAAGAAATACGCACACACTGAAATATGCACACAGACAAATACGCACACACACAGAAATATGCACACAGACAAATACGCACACACATCGAAATGCGCACACACACACAGAAATATGCACACAGACACACACACACACAGAGAAATACACACACACTAATACAATAATACACCCAGTGGCGGACCTAAGGAACAAAGAGATGCAGAATAATAGTATATGAATTCGGTACATACTCTGTTCTGCCTCTCTGCTCTGAAATGCCGGCCTGATGTCTTGTGCAGAGGGTCTCAGGAGCGGTTCAGAGGGCCTCAGGAGGGGTACAGAGGGTCTCAGGAGGGGGAGATGTGCAGGCGGCAAACACGCTGTAAGCAGGTGTGGGGTGGTTTCACAGAAGGCTGCTGCGCAGGACCTAACTCAGCTGAATCAATTTAAAAAATGTAATTTCCAAGCTGCAGAGGTCAGTTGTAAGGCAGAGCACAGAAGTCCAGATGTCAGCGGTGTAATGCAGAGTGCAGAGGTCAGCGGTGTAACGCAGAGTGCAGAGGACAGAGTGGGAGACAGAGGTCAGGGTGTGACGCAGAGTGCAGAGGTCACAGTGTGATGCACATCACAGAGGTCAGTGTGACGCAGGGTGCAGAGGACAAGGTGTGACACAGAGTGCAGGGGTCAGCAGGGTGTGACGCACAGTGGAGAGAACAGGGTGGGGCGCACAGTGGAGAGGACAGGGTGGGACGCACAGTGGAGAGGTCAGGGTGGGACGCACAGTGGAGAGGTCAGGGTGTGAGGCAGAGTGCAGAGGACAGGGTGTTACGCACAGTGCAGAGGTCAGGGGGTGACGCACAGTGCAGAGGTCAGAGTGTGACACAGAGGTCAGGGTGTGACGCAAAGTGCAGAGGTCAGGGTGTGACACACAGTGCAGAGGTCAGTGTGATGCACAGCGCAGAGGTCAGTGTGACACACAACGCAGGGGTCAGAGTGACGCACTGCGCAGGGGTCAGTGTGACGCACAACGCAGAGGTCAGTGTGATGCACAACGCAGAGGTCAGTGTGACGCACAGCACAAAGGTCAGTGTGACACAAGCGCAGAGGTAAGTGTGAAACACAGCGCAGAGGTCAGTGTGACGCACAGCGCAGAGGTCAGTGTGACGCACAGCGCAGAGGTCAGTGTGACGCACAGCGCAGAGGTCAGTGTGACGCACAGTGCAGAGGTCAGTGTGACGCACAGCGCAGAGGTCAGTGTGATGCACAGCGCAGAGGTCAGTGTGAAGCAGAGGTCAGTGTGACGCACAGTGCAGGGTCAGTGTGATGCACAGTGCAGGTTCAGTGTGGCGCACAGTGCAGGGTCAGTGTGACGCACAGTGTAAGGAAGAAAGAAAAGAGACTTACAGTTTACTTAGCTGGTATTCAGGTGCCTCTTCTTTCTACTGGTGGTGGTGGTGGTGGGGCAGTGGAGGTTGGTGAAGAAGATTCTACATGTATCTTGTTTTCCCCCTGCTGCATAACTTTCTGGATGGCCGGTCTCACTGTCTCTGCAGTCTTCCTCCCAGCCTGGCAGCTGAGGTGGGCAGCGGAAGCTGCAGAAGACAGCAGAACTGAATGTCATCGAGGTGCGCCACCGGCGGGACCAGAGATGGGACACCACCCTTGCGGTGATCATTCGCTTCTGTTCTCTCTTCTCCTCCTCTGCCACTCTGTAGCTGCAGCGGCCGATGAGCAGAGAGAACAGAAGCGAGCAATTGCCGCAGCGGTAGTGTCCCATCTCTGGTCCCGCCGGCGGCGCACCTCGATGAGATTCCACTTGCCCCCACGCAATTGTCACTCGCCAATTGCGAATGGAAATTTTGAGGCCTGGTCTAACATACTGAGAGCCACTGGAGGGAGAGTGAACACTGTATAATGTCATAAGTAATAAAGACACCAGACAGAAGGAATAGTAAGTTCGGTGCAAAGTTTATTTTAAGTACACTTTGCATCAGTATTTCAGATTGTGTTCCCACTGAAACACACTTTGATTGCCCTCTTTAAATGCTTCTTCAAGGCAAATGTAGAACATATAACTTATATAAACTCTATAAAATGTACTGTAATCACAATTGCCTGCTCTGCTTGTTTGAAGATTTTGCAACTGGCTCCTTCAATCAGCTGATCGAGGGGTGTCGGCCAATCTGTGAATCTTGACAAACCGGCCGAAATTCACATAGTGTATGGCCAGCTTTAAGAAGGAAACCTCCAGAAACCTCCAGAGGACATTCATTTGCATTCCTTGTGTCTGGATTGTGTCTGGCAACTGGCTCTTCCAGGTCTGAGCTGAGGTGACATACTGTAGGTGAAGGCTACAGATGTTCTGAGGAAAGCAGCAGATTAACATAGACTATTTTGAACTAGGCATTATCAGCAACTACTGAGAAGGAGCACACCGTTCTACAATCTTACACAGACCAAGACATATAAAAATTCCTTTTGGGACGAGCCCAAGAAATGTTTTTCCATGTTAGCTGCACAATCTCATTGAGTATCAGGCATTTGTGGAATAGTAACTCATACTTAGTGTTTACTGTATATCTACCATAAGAATGGATTTAGGCAATAACGATAGCAGAAAATAAACAAATCAACATGTAAGCATTTTTACAGCAGCCTAAATGGATAAACTGTAGCCACAGGAGAACTAGGATCCTTTGGCCTGAGAGGCAAATACAGATTCACATCTTCCAACACTAGCTTCCTTTGCAATTAGTGCCATTTGGGCACAAGTCATTAGAAATCTCAAAGCTGTAAAGAAAGTTGATGCTGGAGGACTTTCTTTTGCCAAGCATAGTGATCAGGCCTAAGGGCCCATCACACCAAATCCAGTCTCCAGACCAGACCAGATCCTAATGCATCCCTATGCTATTTCTGGCCTCTGTTCACACCAGCGCAGTCCGTTCCAGACCAGACCAGGAAAATACTGCATGTCTCATTTTGTCTGGTCTGGAATGCACTGGAACGCATAGAAACGCATCAAAAATGCATTGATTGCACTGGAACGCACCTGAGAGCCTATTTTAAGCTACAAAAAAAACGGCTCAGAAACACGTCAAAATGACTTTAAAATCGCGGCAAAACCGCGATGCACTGCATTCCATATCTGGTCCAGGAACAGGTGTGAACCCAGCCTAAATGGAGAGAAGGTAGCTATATAATGACCAGCAGATGTCACTAATTGCAGGTCCCACCCTGATCAGTGTTTGGATGGTGATGTATCTACACTTAGGGCCACCTGTTAGGATCCAGAGCGCCTCCAGGTGGCGCTGGAGCTAAGCCCTGCAGTTCCTGGGCTCACCTGCAGGATTCTCCAGGCATCCAGGAACTGCTAGGTACCAGACCACCATTGGGTGGTGCTGGGACCTGCAGCTTCAGTGCTCACCTGCGGGTGTCTCCCAGCACTTGGCCATCACCTGGTGCTTCCTGGGAAGGTATTTAAACCCTCCCTGCAGTCAGGACGATGGCTCAGTATTGTTTCCTGTTAGTCCTGAACCCTGGTTGAACCTTGTTACCTGTGAGTCCTGAACAATGTTTGAACCTTGCTACCTGTGAGTCCTGAACACTGTTTGAACCTTGTTACCTGTGAGTCCTGAACCCTGTTACCTGTGAATCCTGAACCCTGTTTGAACCTTGTTACCTTTGAGTTCTGAACCCTGTTTGAATCTTTTTTCCTGTGAATCCTGAACCCTGGTTGAAGTCCTGTTTCCTGTGTCTTTTGTTTGCTGTCCTGAGCCTTGTTGTTGGTTGTTGCTGTTAGTCTGCTGTGTATATTAAACATTCTATACATATATAACATACTTGCCTGGTCCGTGTGGTCACATCTGTTTTGGTCTGCCTGTGTGGGTACCTGCGCAGGTGGGGGGTCACCTGTGCCAGTATCCCTGACACCACCAGCCCAACATATATTAGTATTGTCCCAGGGGGCAAATTCCCCCTAGCCCATTCCTCCCCTGCCTAAAATAAAAACAAACCTGATTTAAAAATAAAAAAATAAAATCAGGTAGAGGGAGATATGTTTTGCAAACTTGGTCATACCAAAGTGGAGTAGAAGTCAGATCAGAACAATTTTCACCCAATTCTGCATATTAAAAAACAAAAACATTTTACTTACACACATAGAATTGTTTTTGATACAGCGATTCATATTTTTATACGCAGAAATGTTGCTGTTTCTATAACAGTCAAAAACAGGGTTCAGACTATTCTTCAATGAGTGTAGGAAGTATTTATTATAGTTAATGCTTTCTCCAATCCTTGCTCCAGAATACGCCTTCTGACACAAGACTTTACAGGTTACATCACAGCAGGTGATAGATTAATTTGATTCACAATAAACATTTCTAAGGCATTATAAAATCAGATGAGACAAGATGAACAACGCTAGTGCAAGTACTACAGTAT